CCGCGCCCCCGCTGTCCCCAGCCCGCACCCTCCCGGCCGGGGCACACGGGTCTGAGCGTCTGCTGAAACGTGGCGGCTCTCCCCGGCCGTTTGCCGAGGTGGGGAGGGAACTGGGGCGCGGGTTTGCGAGCGTCACGCTTCCTGTGGGCGCCCCTGGCCGCGCCGCCTCCCCCGAGGCGCCCCGCTTCCCCTGCCCCAGCCACCCGCTCCTGGCCGGGGGGCTGCCCCAGGTGACCCCCATGGGGTCATGCCAGTTCCCCTGGGTGACGGGGCTGGGCAGCCCCCGTTGACAGGGGAAGACCCCAACTGGGATTTCTGCCCTGCAGACCCGGTTTGGGGGTCTGGTGCCTGCGCTGGAGCATCCCGCCCACCCCACGGCCATGGCCCCGGGTCCTTACCTCGGTGCCCGGTGCGGCGGCGGCTATGGCAAGAGCAGGGGCTGTGCCACCCGTCTGAATCACTTCATGGGCTGGCGGGGACCTGCGGGCAGGAGGGCGAGAGGGTCAGGCTGCCCCGCCGGGCACCTCCCCACCCCGGGGACCCGCCGGTGGGCGACCAGGTGGGGAAGCACGGTGGGACGCTGATTTCCCCCACCCCAGCTCACAGCCCCGCACGCCACTGCCGGCCTTCACCTTATTTGCCTCAATTATTTTTTTATTGCCAGCAGCCGGTGTCTCTGGGAGCTTGCCAGACATCGGCTGGGCATGCCCTTCCCTCTGCACCCGTCGGGGGACCTGCCAGCTCAGGGACAACCCCGGGGCCCAGCCATCTATCCCCATCTTCCTTGGAGAGGCCAAGACCCCCCGGGTTGACTTTCCCGGTGCCGCTGGCTGGGTTTGCTCTTTTCCGTGCGCTGCATGAAGATCCCTTTATGCTGCTGCTGAGCCGCAACCCAAATCCCGCAAGCACTGGGATGCTCCCCTGGTTCCTACGGGGATGGGGGGGTCGGGGTTGGCCCCACGGCATTAGCGGGCTCTGGGAAGCAGCCGCGGGATTCAGCAGGCTGTAATTAAGCGCTTAGGTTTAATTAACATGGCTGGGGAGGGGAGAAAGAGAGCTGGAGGAGGCAGCAGCGGCAGGGAGGGACAGGGCTGCTGCCCCCCAGCAGAGTTCAGCCCCAGCGCAGCCCCTCGGCACCAACAGTGATGGCTCTGCCTTCCTCCTCCTCCTCTTCCTCCTGGGCCTGGTAAGCGGTGGCTTTACACTGGGGCTCCATGGGATACACCAGCCCGATGCCAAAACGCAAGCTGCCTTGGGGGAGCCAAGGCAGCCAGGTTTCCCACCGCAGACCCCTGCCTCAGTTTCCCCACATGCGGTGGGTGCTTGTACCCTGCGGTGGGGCATAAAGATGCCCAGGGCTGCCCTGGCGCAGTGACCCTGGGGTTCGTCCTGCTGGGTGCTGGGCCATTTTGGAGGGGTGCTGGGCCCTGTAGGGTGGTGCTGGGGGTTCCTGGGGTGCTCCCGGCAGCCGGCTGGGTGGGAGACTCGCACCCGCTCTGCTCAGGGATTTCATAAGTGCTGTGATCGGCGGGCGGGCGTCCTCATGCCCGTGCTGCGGTTGTCCTTGACGGGCGGCTTGGGGCTGGGATTTGTCACTGCTGAACTCTGCCTGTGCCCAGGGAGGGGGCACAGACGTGTCCCTGTGGTCCCCGGCGTGGGGATGCCCTGGCACGAGGCCTGAGCCGTGGCACGGGGGTTTGGGACCGGGTGGGAGGATGGGGATCACTGCAGCCCCCCCGGTCTGGTGGGGCAGCTCTGCTTGGGGTTCTGCGCCTGATTTGCAGCATTTCCTTGGCCCAGGTGCCTACGCCCCATGGTGGCCCTTGTCCCTGGGAGCCACGGCACGTCACCCCCCAGGTGGCCTTCGAGGAGGGCAAGGGACTCCCTCCATCGTGGGCTGCCCATCGCCACGACACCAAACCAGGGGAGCTGCACACCCCAAACCCACCAGGAAAGGCACCCCATCCCAGGACCACTCCTGCAGAGGGGTGCGCTGCAGGAGGCGGGCTGCCCACGAGGGGCGCGGGGCTGGAGGCAGCGGGGTCCCCCCCAGCCACACCCAAGGTGGCCCCGGGTTTTGTCCCTCCCTGCGGTGGCCTCCCTGCGCCCCAGCCCTGCTCAGGCACCTGCTCCCCTCCCTGCTCCGCCGCCTCTTCCCGCTCCCCCCGAGCACCCTGCCCCACAGGGACCCCTCCATGGGGACATCCCAGCCAACTGAGTGAAACCCCCCCTCCTCCTCCAGGCAGGGCCAAATCCTGCACCCAGGAGCATCGCTCCCCCCCAGCCGGCGGTGCCCAGGCTGGCCACGCCGAAGAAGCAGCAGTGCCCCCGGATCAGGCCATCCCCGTGTCACCTGGGGCCGTTTTGGGGCTGTGCCCCTTTTCCACCGGTGCAGCATTGCTTTCGGCACCGCAGCTTGGTGCAGCACCGCACCCCTGGCCAGGGGCTGGGTGCCCCTTCCCCTTGGCTCAGCTCTGCACCCCACGGCCCCCCCTGCCCCCTGGGTGCCCACTGGGTGCTGGGCCCGGTGCCCACCGCCGCCACCGAGCCCCTCCTGCCGCTGCCCCCCGCCCATGGCCACGCCGGCATCGCTGCAGCCGTCGCAGGGTCGGATGCGTGGTGCCTGGAGGATTTTTCACGGCGGGGCACCTTATCCTGGGAACCCGGGTGCTGGGGCCAGATCCTGCCCCAGGATGAGCCAGGGCACCCCCAGCCCTGCCCAGGGTGGGGCTGGGGTTTCCCAGGGCTGTCACCCCCCCCCCCAGCTTGGGGACCTCCCTGGCTAGAGGGAGACGTGAGCCCCCCACGGGGCCGGCGGGGGGCTGGGGGGCTCCCCTCTGCCTTGCTGCAGCTGCAGGCGAGCAGCAGGATTTACCGCAGGGCTGCCGGGGAATGGAGCCGCAGCACCCAGCCGGCGCGGGGGAGCACCCAGCCGGGCACCCGCCC